AATGAGAATCCTGACAACACAGTAAATATATATTCTTGAGAAAAAACAATATTATGGTGGGCTGAACAGATAGCTATTTTTTTCTCTGCTTTTCTGAGGAGAACAACATCAAGTCAGCTTTGGTAAGATGTCACATCAACGCTGTCAGAAAAGAAGTCCACACCCTCTGTTTGCATGCTTTGAGGTGGGATAAAGAGATCATTCTCTGATATGTAAAGGAGAAATTTACAAGTTAAATAGATGTAACTGTTGGTAGTTTAAAAGTGTTGGATTTTTCTAATTATTTTACGAAAATGCCTTCAACGTTTAACATAACATCTTTGGATCGTCAGCCTATCTGATTGTAGTGTCATAAACGAAAACGTGGCATTTCACTTTGAACCAGCTTAAATCCTCCCTTCTTTCAAAAACAATTTAATCACCAACCTGATACGCTCTTGTTTTCGTGCGACTGCTCTATGGCAGTGTGTGGGGGTGGTGGTGACGGCCGGGTAACCATGGTAGACCTTCATTCAGGAAAGGTTTATTCCTTCATCACGCATGAAAAGCGCATGCATTCAAAATGCCCTGAACTCTAAAGAAGGGGAAATCTTTTGGCAATTGATTTCTGTCGCCCTAAATTATAATGAAGAAATAACAGCTGCATTTTGATGTGCGACTAATAAAAAATTGATGCGCAGCAAAGATGAGAATACTGCAATAAAAAAATTCAGATGTGTTAAGATTTTTGTTTGTGTCCATCGGCTTTATGAGTCATAATGTTTATGTTTATCAATGCAACAAGATATGCCATTTTTATTTTTAAAATGTACACAAAAGTACACAATAGAAATATACCTTAATAAGGTTTTAAGCCTGTTGTGCTGAGTCAGTGCATTGATATTTTAAACACCTACACATTATACATTATATTTATATAACACAAGGTGTTAAACTATTTTGGTGTAGATTTAGAGACTTATTTTTTTAGAATTATTTTAGTATAGCCAGGCCCACTGTTAGTTAATGAAAGAGAAACAGTAAAACCTTTTGTAATATCTTTGTAGCAAAGATAAAATTCAAAGTAGACTAGTGAGTTAGCAAATTTACATGGCTACCTTCTACTAACTCAAATTTCCTAGTAAAATAAGTGCTCAGCTGATCCTGAGCAGACACAGATCTAATCATTCAAATACAGGAACAAAGGACACCTGCTGTGCATCTGCCTGCCTTGTTAACAAAGTCTGCAGTATGCATTAGCCAGGCAACTGAATTGACAATCCATCAGGCAAAAAGAATCAACCAAACACAATGTAAACACATTTCAATTAACCCAAAGCACTACCACCTCCCTTTGCACTGTGCAAAGTGGGAAGAGTTTTATTCATTAGTCACACATTTGGATTTTTATCAACCTGCACCATGTTCTCCTGACGCTATCATACATAACATTTTAGATAAAAAGAAACATAAAAAACACACATTAATACTCTTCCTTATTCTATTTCTCTTTAGCAATTTGTTCCCTGGTCATTTTTAAATTTAATCTCCAACACTGCATACATTTTGACTTTTATTTAATGGAAAAAGGGTGTATAATAAAGCAATATATTCCAGTAATTATATTTTGTTTAAGGTATGTATTGTTTCACAAGCCTTTTTTAAAGTAATAAGAATGATTAAAAAGATTAGGTGTAGAATCAGATTATATTCTCTGGCAGAGAATCTAAAACAATTTCTGAATAAGATGTAAACTACACTTCTTAATGCTGGCAGCAGCATTCACAGCAGATCAGCAGTAGTCTGATCTTCTAAGAACTCAGCCGCCAAGCAAAGCTGGTCTTGGATAGTACAGGGATGGGAGTCTTCAAAAGATTACCAAGCTGCTGGTGCAGGTGGCACGATGCCCTCTGGATCAGAATTCCAAAAACAACATGGCCATAGAGTGGCATGATGGTGTAGTGACTAGCATTGTTGTCTCACATCACTAGGTTCTGGGTTCAATTCCTGAGGTGCCATCTGCATGGAGTTTGTATGTTCTCAATGTGCTTGCATTGATTTCCTCCCATAGTCCAAAGACCTACAGGTAGGTTAACTGAATTCTGGGAAAAGTGTCCCTGGCGTGAGTGAGTGTTTGTCTGTGTCCATGTGTGCTTTTGCACCAGTTGCTTGCTGGGATGGACTCCAGCTTCCCCACAGCCCTGTACTGGATAAAACATATAGAAAATAGATGGATGTTATATGCCAATATGAGCACTGTTAAGAAGAGTAGGGCTGTTAGCCCTGGTGTCCTGGATAATTTCCACTTTGCGCTTGTACAATATAAATTGCTGTCCGTAAAGTCCCTCCTTAATTCAATTGGTGAAGCAATTTCTTACTTCTCAGTGTGATCTGCAGTACAATGGGACTGCTAATGTATATTGTCTGTGTATCATCTAGCAGGTGAGATGCACTTCAGCAATGAAGTGGGTTCCCATTCATCCATTGAATCTGCTTTCAGAGTCTTTTGAAAGAAAAGCACCTAGCTATAAACTCAGAGAATTATTATGAACATTAAATTCTTTGCATAACAATTTGATGCACCAAGCATACTGTAACATAATTCAGTATTGTACATGAAACTCCTTACTCCACAATAAGATTTTCAGTATCCACCACTAGGAGGTGGAAAAAAACAAGGCTTCATCCAGTAATAGAAGAGGGAATTATAGAAAACCATTACAACTGTATGATTTCACCGTCCTTCCTTTCCTGAAGTAATGTGTGTGACTAATGTTAAAGCCCATTTACAGGATTGTACTTCGTTGAAACCAGTAAATGAAATAAGAAACATTATAGTAACCCTTGAGGCCAAGTGTAAACTAAAGTTAGACTAGCAATTTAGTAACAATTCTGTTCAGCCAAGTTATTATGGTCTAGGAAGCTCCACAAGAGCTGCTGTTACTTCCTTATTCTTCTTCATAACTGTTTCTTGATCACAGATGTCCCTAATGCAACACTGTAATTTGGGCCTTGTATGGCAAAGTTCCTAAAAAAAGTCTAAGCAACTATCAGTATTTGAAATGATGCCAAATATATAAATATAAAATGCAAAAGGCCGACCTTACGATTTATATACAGTACTTATACTGAACCACTCACTGTACTGATATGAATATCATTCCATTCTCCGTCATTTTGCAAAAATAAAATGCAGGTTTTGGTTTTTTGAAATTCAGATGGATATTTAAATAGAACATTCTAAATGAGACAGCAATTTTCACATAGTAGATCTCTCTCCATCTATATTTAACATTATTGGTGATTGGATAATGGTGGTTTTAGACCTGCTTCCTACAGTGTAATGAGGCGTGATCCTCCATCACTACACTTTCTCTCTATATTTGAGTAACATCTGTCAGGCAGTTGTAAATACAGTATGTCCAGGATCGTGGTTTTGTTACTCTCTTGAGAAGAGACATTAAAAAACTGCTGTAAATAACAATAATAAGGATTCTGCAGGTTTGAAACATACCTTACATATAATTGACATCTGGAAGGTATTTCTTAGCTTTAGAGTTTTTTGTTTTTACCAAGATATTAGACAAAATAATTATTTTCTCTCCTTTTTCAATATACTGTATTCTTACAATATGGCATTTGACTGTGGGTATACTCAGACAGAAGCCCTGTTCATAACAGTGACCAAGATAGCAGTTTTATCTTTGATATGCAATGTTTTAAAAAGAAATATGACAACGTTCCTTAAATTAAAATAACAAAGCAATGATCATGTTGTACTATTAAGAACAATTTTAATATTTAAGACTTGTAACTATTTTATCATGTACGTGCAATACACAGTTACTCCACAAGATGTCATTTGAGCTTTATATTTACAATACTATAAGAGAAGTACTGTACATTAAGGTTTTTTGCATCTTCTATGTCTGCTTCAGGAGATATAATCAGTAAAATAGTTTTAAAATAGTTGACTTTCCTTTGCTTGATATCCAGATTTTAAGAGAACAATGGAGAATACAATGTCCAAGCAGGAACGTTTTGAGGAATGTAATTGGTGGACCATCTGAGTCTCAGTAAATATTGTAAATCCATAACTAAAGACATTCTAAAGAGACTTTCACAAAGGCTACATGACATCTGTCAAACTTAATAGATTCCTTTCAGAAGCAGAAGATTTTCTGTTGACTAAAACCACACTGTATATCATTATTTAATACTGCCAAATAATGAAGCATATTATACTTTCAGAGTGACTGAAGCCTGCTTGACCTTAGTATTGAGTATCTCCTTATCAAGCCAAAAAGGCAGATGCAGAAAAATAGGAAAACCTTAAACCTAAAAAAAAACTGAAAAATGCACAAGTAAAGATATCTTTTCAAGGAAAAGACAATCCTTAAAACAATGTTGCTGATGGATTCACTGAATAACAATCAAAAAATCATCCTGCTAACCACAAACTAATACTACTTACTAAGTTACTAGCCAGGCTAAAACTGTTCCTTTTTTAACCTTATTTAACCTTATTTAGCTAACTTTTAAACTTTTCTTAACATTCAGACATTATGTGGATTCATTTTTACAGCATTATCTCTTTTGTGGCACAAAATAATTCCAGTGTTTATCTATACAGTTGTCTCATTAATATCTCTTTTAGAACGGTTTCCTGCAACATGCCAGGGAGATTCTTCTTCAAACACAGTAACAAATGCCGTAGCTCTGAATGTCGAATGGCATAATGAAGGTACTCCAAAAAGCAGCATTAATGACCATCTCTACAGTTAATCTCGCAGACTACAGTTATTATCCTGCTTTCCAATCAAACTGTTGTGTCAGTTTTTTGGCATTGAAGGTGTCTCTCCATCAATCACGGGGCAATAGTTTCTATTTTGATGAGTCAGAAAACCTAAGACCCTCACAATAGACATTTCAGAGCCTAACAATAGTTTGAACTAATGCTCTCTTTCAGTCAGGCATTGCTGAGTGAGCAGTGGTTGTGCGTATTCTGCATTTAAGCCAAGGCCTGGTACTATATAAACACTGGAGCAAAGCTTGCCCCCGACATTGACTTTACTGGATCTGTCCACTTCAGAATGTAAGTATCCTATTGCTGTTGAACATATGGACTGAATTGTATCACATTATAGTTTTTCATATATTTAGACAAGTACAACTACAGTGGACTTCACGGTGCACTTCAAAAACAATAACACAAACCATTAATCTAAACTGACTTTTGGTGACAGGGAATTAGAAACAAGGCATCTATAGTTCCTTTAATTACTTTTCTAATGTAAGTTGAACTTATTGCTTTCAAAACATCAGGGCATCAAAACATTGCTGCCTAAGCTAACAAACATTATATTGTTCTAGACTCTAGATGATAGTGATCATGCAGTTTTTGAGTCTAGATTTGTAGCCAGTTAAAAAGGTTAATATTTAATCTCCTTCACTTTAGTCCACTTTCTATGTTTTTATTCATACAGAAGAAGGTCATTGGAGCCAGCAAAAATGACTACGCAACCAATGGTCGAACAAATGGGACAGTGGAAAATCACTGTGTGGGAGGAGGAAAATTTCCAAGGAAAACGTTGCGAGTTTATGATGGAATGTCAGAACATCATGGAGAGAGGATTTCACAAGATCCGCTCCATCAAGGTGGAGAATGGCCCGTAAGTCTGAATGGATATAAGCCTGGTTCTTTTCCTCACAACATTTTTATTTTCAGTACTGTACTTCTTTTAAATCTGAGGTAGACCAGCACTCTTTTTAGAGTAAGATGTTAATTTTCACACACATTATTTATACTATCTCGTCTCTAACATTTGCCAAAAAAGTATTTGTAAGATACCTTTGAATATTTCTATACATTTTTGTGTTATAGGAATTGATATAAACAAGTACAGTACTAGTATTCAAGAACATATCCCTTTTAACAATTTCTGGAATACTAAATTTCTAGTATTGAATGAAATGTTAAATAAAATAAGTCTGACAAATAAAAGGGATGGTCATTTATGACAAATCATTAAAATGTTATTTTTATATATTTCTCATTGTCTGACTGCTTGTAATAATACAGTTTAAATAAGTTATTTACAAACTAAATTACAAAAAGGTCTCTTTATAAGGTTGTTATTTTACGTTTTTCACTTATGAATATGACAAAGTGGACAACTAATAATTGTAGTAATTATAATTTTATAGATAACATTTTTGTAAAACACAAGATTAATAAAAATTGCTGGTTCTAAGATGTTATTGGGATGATGCCATCAATGAACCTGAGTGTGAATGTATCGTCATTAAGATCTGTAAAACAAAGGTAGAAACATGTTAGGACAATGTGTATTTTCACTAGAAAATAACCCACCTTGACTCTAGCCCTTTCAGGATGTATTCATGGATTTGTATAATGCAGATTTTGACAACCTGAGACAAAACAATTTGATCCACTGTGATTCCAGAACAGGTTTCCTTAATCTTATTAACAAAAGCGATTTTGGTCAGATTTTTCAGTCTTTCCCAAATACTCATTTTGTTTCTCACCCCCTTGCACAGCTGGGTCGGCTATGAGTATCCTGAGTACCAAGGCCAGCAGTTCATCCTGGAAAAGGGAGACTATCCTCGCTGGGAGGCCTGGAGTGGAAACAGTGGCTACAGAACGGAGCACCTGCTGTCCTTCAGACCAATCAGATGTGCTGTGAGCTTGAAAAACCAATATATGTACCTTAATTTAGACATTCAGACAGATGCACATGTTCTAGACAAACACCAGATGAAAGATTAAATTGTAAGAACTTGTACTAGAATGGCCCTAACATCCTTCCCCATGTATTTAAATTACGCTGAAGTGCTAAAACACTCATGTAATGTTACAATTACAGCTAACACTTTAAAGTTATTTTCACAATTTGAACAATTGATACATGTTTTTCAGCCCTGTCAATTAAAACCTTCAAGAAAATGGTAAAAAAAAAACATACCCATATTGCAGACACATTACTAATTGAGATACTCTGACATAATATTGCACTGAAAGTGTTCGAATTTTTAAACAGCTTCATCAAAAATCCAAGGTACCCATTTGTTTCCCCTCTTTGCTATCTGATCAGTGTTGTTGCGTTTCTCTGTAGAATCACAGTGACAGCAAGGTGACTCTGTACGAGTGCGAGGACTTCCAGGGCCGGAAGTTTGAAATGTGTGATGACTACCCCTCCCTGCAAGCCATGGGCTGGTGCAGCAAGGAGGTCCCATCAATCAAAGTCAACTCTGGGGCGTAAGTTCGACTTAAATACCAGTTGACTTTAGTTTAGTACGATTATGTGCACGTTTAACCACATCAAGGAGTAAAATCTGTTTTTAGTAATCCTGTTCTGTTTATGTTTTGCTCATGATGGTGGTGGGATCTCTTCATTGCTGGAAGCCTGCCAGTCATTCCTAGTCAGCGCTTTTAAGATCCCTTTTAAACCTCATCATGAGCACATTCTAGTGGCCAGTTCTAAAAGTGATGTTTCCTCCTCTATTGATTCTTCACAGTTGGGTAGCCTATCAATACCCAGGTTACCGTGGATACCAGTACATCCTGGAGAGAGACAGACACAATGGAGAATACAGAAACTACAATGAGTACAGCACCCAGGCTCACACCAACCAGATTCAATCTATCCGCAGAATTCAGCACTAAGTCCAACCTACACTTTTCCTTACAGTGATTATGTATCTAGCATTGCATGAAATGTACTAAAATAGGCAATAAAAGCATTGTTCAAACTATGGAAAAGAGTGCATGTGGCCATTCCTTGCTTTCTTCAGTTCCTCCCAAAAGTGGAACTATCTATCTATTTATTATGCTAGATGACAACCTGAGGCAGATTTTAAATAAATGTACCACACTTGACTGTCTGACTCCTTCTACATTTAAATCATATCAACAGATTTTCAAATTTCAACTATGATAAAGTTGAAGTTATTCATTATATCAATTCAGATCACTTTAATCCAGTATATAGACAGACCTTTTCAGAAATGTTTTGTATACATACAATAGTGTGAAGAAAAGGATGGCTTGTGGTTATTTACAATAATTAAAAAAAAACATTTTTTTAATGTTAACTATAGGCTATCTGTCCTTGTCAATGGGAATGTGGAAAATCACAACTAACAATAACTGTACTTTATTTCCAATAAACATAAGCATCAGTTTAATCAATGCTGTAAATGTTTTGATTATGTGTTATTTCATAGATATTATATTATATATTTTATATATAATGCTAAGGCAAATACATTTTGTTTGCCTTGGAATACATAAATTTTAAATAGTTATGAATACATGCATTTCTTTGTGGTTTTCACTAAAGAAAAATGTTTTAAAATGATACTGTGAACTTTAGTTTCAGCTGTAAGTGAAATTTATTAGAAATTCCCCAAACTGTATACAGTACTAGAATAAATGCATTGATTACAATACATTAAAGTACATCATATTCCTTTATTCTATTTAAGCTATTCCTTTAAGCCCTATATTCTTAGTTTACATTTGAAATCAGCTTTGTCTATAGATGTTTTTCTTGATCAGTTTACATTAAGACATTGAAGAGTTGTGTTGATGATGTTTAAATTGGGTTGTGCAAATCAAGTGCTGGTAAACTGTTTAAAAGAGAAGCACTCTTCTGCATATTCCTATTTTCTCAGAATCATCTCCAAACATTATGTTGTTTTAGTGGGACATTACAAATTTTAGAAGTCAAGCTTTAAATGAAACTTAACAGAATGTGGGTAATATAGAATTATTGTTTTTTTTACAGAAAGCTCTTAACAGATTAAGTACAGACCAATAGCTATCGATCTAATATATCTAAGAAACTAAGTTTCTAAGAATTATTGGAAGGGATATCAATTGGCTCCTGGTGTTTCACAGCACCATGGTATATAGGATATCTAAAATAATTCTAATTCTGCCTTTTGCTTATACAGTATGAAATTGAACTTAGTAGCCTTGGACAGTAGTTTCCACCTTTTTAGGGTTCATCAGCATGGCATAGCTAACTGGTGACGGGTGATAAGGACAATATGCAGTAAGCATCTTACACTGAGCACCTTTCACATCTACAATGCTCTTTAGTAATATACTGTCAAACACTAGCATCCATTCTATACTGAAAATGTTTTGTTAATAATTTCAGAAAACAGAAGAAGGGGTCACAAATATGCAGCTTAAAATCAAGCAGGTAGATGAAAAAGAAGTGACTCATGTTTTCTTTACTTAATGTTGCATGCCTCTGGAATAACTCAAGTAATGTTGCTGATTCTTCCAGTTAAACTTGAATTTTGTTTATGAAGTTCTCTGAGCTGTCCAAGGTACTGAACATTTTCAAAAGCTTTATTCAAGGGTTCCACCTGCATATGAGAGGCAGTTGTAGGTTATTTTAAATGGTAAAATGATGATTCGGTATTATATACAGCAAACCCATCAGTCCTATCACTTTGGTGAAGATTTGCATCTGCTAAAACACTTAGATAATACTGAAACCTAATCCAGACTTTGACTAATTAAACCTTTATACTGACTTGAAATATCATGCTTGTAATCTGTGTGAATGTGAACCTCAGAGTATTGACCAAAATATCTTAATTGCAAGAGAACATGAATAGTCAGTCCCTAAATCTGGCACTTTCATATTAATCTCTCTTGCTCTGTGGTGTAATATGGTAACTCTCAAAACGTCATTACAATCTCCTATTGCCACTGGAAAAATAGGAACAATGGGAAAAAATATAAAGTTATTATGCTGTAAACCATGTTTAATTAAAATAACTGTAAAAAGTACTTGTTTCGTGGTGTTTTACTTACCTCGTGCATAACATATAAATCTATTTCTCCACCTGTTTGTAAGATGCGATCAACCTACTACTGTACAGTGTTAACAGATTTCAGAAACTGCAGTACACAAAATGAAAGACTGAAAGGGTATTTGTTATAAAATGCTCTAATAAATGTTCTGTTACAAAACAAATGATTTTTTACAAACTTTTTTTTTTTTAGCTGGGCAGTAGTATAGACAGTGACACGTAGTATTCCGGATATCTGTCTTATTCAGTGGGTGGGGTACGGTGCAGTCGGGAAGACGTTTGTGTAGTTTTCTTCATTTGAATGCAGCCACGAGTCACGCTGTCACATCCTGCTTTGAATCCGTCTCCTGTTAAAATTTACAATGGAGAACAACACTCGCTTTACCTAATAAGTTGTGCTCCCAACACACCCACAAGCTAACTTGAATCCATGCTCCAGCTTTGAACTTCCAATGCAATTTCCCACACCCAGAACAGGATCTCTTAATAAATGTTCAACTATACACACCTTTTACAAATACACTTTCCTATCTCAACTGATTAAATCAGCTGCCCCTAGCAGTGTGCGTTTAGCATAGCCAGACTACACAGCTTCTTAAGGGACAAATACTGTATAGTGCTCCTAGGAGGTAAGTTAAATTATTAACAAGCCAATTTTGTGTTTTAGAAAATACTGCCATAATGGAGACGTATTTTAAATATACATATCTGCTTCATATTAAAGAAAAAAACGAATACTTATGGGAACCGAGGTAAAAGAATTTTGTTCATTATTTTAAATAGTTATACACATGCAACAGGTCGTGACAGGTGAAAAGTGTTCATGCACATCAATCACCTTTCTCAGACTCTTTGAAAAGGATCATTTTGTTACCATTGTTTAATGTGATTTTATTTTGATTTTTTTGTTCTCTTGTGTTCATACTTATCGTTTTTTGTCTTTGTTTTAAGGTGTTAATTTGTTAATTCTGTATTTCTTGCATACGTTAAAAACAGCAGTTAATCTGTAAGGGAAGGCAGTTATATTTTGCGTTTTATATTGGTGTCCAGATATCTCTCTCAAATTACTTCAACTACATGATCTTCTTTGGTTATATTCTGTGAACTACTGTATACAGGCTTTTATCCTGATTTATATCACAATTCTGTTAAAATGCAAAAGGTTTGAATGAAAACAGCCTTTAATCCTTAACGCACTGCTACAATCTGCATGTCAAAGTTTGAATTTAAATATAAAATAAGATTTTAAACGCATTCACTTTGTTTATTATTTCAGATACGGAAGCAGCACACTCCTCTGAATGAAACGTTCCTGCATACTGAAGCCACTGATCACAATTATCACCTGGAAAAAAAAAAACAAAACTTAGTTTTGAAGGGGGTTGAAAACAGCATGTATGCTAATACACAATTGTAATATACATAAAGATCTAGTTAACGTATTTGCGAATAATACTGTTTCACAAGGAAAACGGTAGGAAAAATCTCTTGTATTCTGGGCTTGTTTTAAGTTGCCTGCGATTTGTTTAAAGACTCAGGCAGCTAAAGCAAGTCTGGAAAGCCGGAGGCAACTTCGATGGAGACCCGATAAAAGCACAAAATATGTGTAGAAAAACAATCTACCATAATTTATTCATCTCTTTTAAAACTTTTACTTTATGAAACGTGAACTAATTAAAATAACATCGCAAAAATGCGTCATTCCTGCTAGTAATGTATATACAGACGCTAAAGGGACGAGTATTTCCTATTTTAAATTCAGTTTGCTAGTCGATCGCTATCAAACACGGAAAGCGACGTCACTTGATCACTGGACTTGCCTCTTAGTTCCACAAAATCCCTCAAACCTCTACTAACGGAGAACATCACAGAGAGCAAAGTTTTCAAACCTCAACAACTCCTGAGTAATTTAAATACAGATTTGTGTTGGGATTAAGCTACCGGTGTTAGCATTTAAAATAAGCTGTCCGTTATTTATGTGCAGCTGCCGTGCTCCTTGTTTTCAGCAATGCCATGTTATTTAGTTACAGTACGACAGGGTGTCGTTTTACGAACTGCTGCACTGGAGAGAGACAGTAAAGAGCGCATGAAAATCCACAGTCAGTGGAGCTGTTGTAGCGTTGAGGATCGTTCTACTGAATTGCAAGGGCTCTGTAAATAGTTTAGTGTTAAGTAGTGCGCTCCTTAGTATGTTAGGTTAGTATGGTACAGTAGGTTTCCCGGTGAGGGCTGGGCGACAATTATTTACAGATCCCTTGTAGTTCAGTAGAATACCAGGTTCACTCCACTACACTGTGCGTTTATGAAGTGTAAGCCGTGCTCTTGTAGCTCTGTGTTGAATAAAGAGTAAAACTGGACAACACCCATCACGTCTTTTTTTTTGTATGTTACAGCAATGTTATAACATTTGTTCTTTTTTTGCTTTTTATAGTATCTGGCTATCTGACAGACTGAAGCCGGAAAGTAATTCTATAATATTGAGCTGGTTTCATTTAAAATATTTAGATTATCATATTATATTTCATATTAATGTTTGATCTCCAGATACACGAAAGCCATCCAAGTCAAAATGCTGTGGTCCGTGTTTACATAAATTAAGTTAGTTAACCGAAATACCGAAAACCGAAACCGTACTTTCAATGTTTTCCAATAGGTAGCCTTGTAGGTTTTTACTTACTTAAACTGTTCTAGTGTAGCCAACATACCGTAACTTCGAGTATTTTCTTCCTTACATCTCATACTACTGTATGACGTGTTACAATACTGAAAGATATGTTGTAAATGGATCTTTCAATTATATAATTTTCTAATCCACCTTGAAACTATTGTAAGTACTTGTAAAGTGCACACTGTGGGAAATGTAGATAAAATGGAAAACAGACATGCCTTAGAAAAAAAGTGGTTTTGATTGAAAAATACATATTTTGAAATGTAATCAAATACAACAAAGTCTTCCTGAAACAGTTGTTTCCTGTAATGACTGTAATCATCAGTGTTGTGTAGTGACTATCACTCAACATCACATTTCAATTTTAGAAAGGCTTCAATGTTATATAATGGGTCTTAGAGTCAAACAATCATACAGACAGAATGTATGGCAAAATGAAAAATGAAGTAACAAAAAATAGTATACAGATATTAATTCACAAGGAAAATCCAGCAAGTAATATTAGCTACTGTATACCATATTGCATTCCTCACATTAGCATTTAGAAGAAACAAGACACTGGGTGAATTTTACTGTAATACTGTAAATAAAATCTGTTTAGATTGCATTTAAAGTGTTGGGGACACCCCCCTCTACATCCTCAAAACAGTTACAAAAAAGAGCAATTGGGACTTTGAAAACACCAGGTAAGTGGAGAACCAAGGTTACATTTTCTGTCATTCTGAATGTTTTTGTTTACAGGAATAACAACCTGTAAAGAAAAAAAAAGCAGAGAAAAATAATCATTTGAATACTTAGAGGGGTCATTCAGGGGCCATCCGAGTGATTCTATGGATAAAGGTGCTCACCTGAAACCAGGATCAACCCTCTGATACAGGATTGAGTCCGGGTCATGTCACTGTCTCACTGTGCCAGGCCATGGCCTAATGGCTGAGCATGGGCAAGGGTAGGACACGGTTCTCAGCAACACAGCGACCCCAGCAACCTCCTGGGCACTTGCAGGCACATGGCACTTTCAGTGTGTTTCACCTGCAATCTACTCTGAATCTCAAGTATGGGGCTGACTAGCTGGTGACATGTTAGGAGCTGAATGGCTCAAAGGTGGGAGGGTCCGAGGAGTCTGCCTACACTTCCACATTCTCCTCCGTGTGTCACGAGAACTGTAGCCAGGACATCAAAAACACATGACTGGCTACTCCAAAGTAGATGGGCGTAACAAAAAGAACAGGCCACATTAAACTTGTAAAAACACTGTCCTTAGAAAGAGGGGAGATCCAAGACAACTGCATTTGCAGCCACAAAAGTGTATTCCATGTTTAAGTGTACCTACTGTAAATAGTCAGGTCACAATATCCTGGACTGCTTTGTTACTTTTAAAAACATTCTCTGTTGTAGTTACACTATAAGAGAGGACTAGGGGAAATCTGCCACATAAGTTCTTTGACACTGCAAAGCACTGAATCTAAGAACTTTGGTGTTTAGAATGTAGTATGGCAAAAGACATGGTCTTAAATATCTGTAAATACTTAAGTGGGAGGACAAGACATGCACTGATTTTCTATATTAGGCAGAAATACTGTAGTATCCTGTTAAAAGTGTCTTATAAAAGACAACCATTTCAAAACTTCCAAGGCAATGTTAAAGAGTTCTAATCCTTACAATGAAGGAAATGTCGGAGTTAACTTAAAAAAAAAAACTTAAGACCTATCTACGACAGGGAAAATGGAAAAAAGTCTGGGTATTTTGTGTATCTGTGGCTTCCCGCAGAGGCTTTGTTAAAAAAAAACCGTAATTGATATACAAATATGTAAATATGTTATATGTAGAAGATTAGAAGTATTGGATAAAATCAGGTCAATGATAATTTATACATAGACAGTATTACTACTAAATGAAACGGCTAGTAGTTTCAGAGAAAAGGCGGATCGTTTCAGCAGAAGCACTGAACAGATAAAGCTGAGCGCCCCCTGGCTGACAACCTGATGATAAATGATCTGACCAGCAATCCAGCTGCAAGGTATCTACAGTAGATGATGTGGCATTCGGTGAATGCGCCGTATTAAGTACCTAAGGCAACATGCTGAACCATAAAGCTGACAAGCTAACTGAGTGAAAAGACCAGGTGTTACCAATACGTTATCGATGTCCGATATCTAGCAGTTCTCTATATAATTTCCGTAAACCACTGGAACAGGAGGCCCAAACTCAATAAAAAAATTAAATAAAGTTTCAAATTCTAAATGCACAAAGTCCTTTTGTTAAATCGTTAGAGACTTGAACAAGGAGTTTCCGGCTGTAGAGAAGTCAGGTGACAGCACTGAACCACGGTAAAGTCTTTGACTAACGCTGAAATATTCAGAGAATGGTCTTGTAAAACAACAAAACAGACCCCTTGATTGTTCTCGACTTCCCACCTTCATGAAGAAAATGCGGAGTTCTCCCGTCACCCAGCCTACGGCACGCCTCCAAGGCCATACTGTACAGAGGCACTGCGCGTTGTCTGCGTGCTCAGAAATAAGGAACACGGTAAACAAGTCAATTCCCTCCCTCCTTCAAATCTGGTCCTGCAGACCGACACACCTGCTGATTTTTGTTACACCTGAGCACTCGGTTAGGGTCTTCAGCCATTAATAGACATAATTTAACTGTTAACCATGCAGTATAGCCTGTTGTCTATTACAAAAAAAAAACGAATAATTGTATTTCTTAAAATCTTCAATCTTTGAGTAGAAAAAAATAACATACAAAAGTTCAAAGCAAGAGACATGTTGGTCCAGATCGGGATTCATTTCCGTAAAGAGCTCAGCAGCAATGAAACCAGTTTGTGGGAACACTTGTGGTAAAAGCCTCATGTAGAACTCCAGGATCGGGTGCTAGATTCTTGCAGATTTTACGTCTAGCAGCAAATTAAGACCTATAAAAACAAGTGACATCACTTCTTATCCAATATCCAAAAATATTTGGAGATGCAATACTGTATATTTAGATTTACACGTAAATAATTGATTAGTATTGTGCCATTTTTTAAATTCCTTAAAAATAAGATGTATACAATTTTACGATGTCTGTAAAAACCGTAAGACATATTTAACATATTATACTAATTTATAGACTAATATGCTTTCCAGATATCTAAAAACATTCTTACAAATAAAATATATGAAATGTATTGTGATAGACACCACTGGAATGAAATTCAAAAATACAATGAAATAAGTGGAATCTGTTGCCACTGCAAAGTCTGTCAGATACTGCATGCAGCGTGGACTCTGACACTGGCCTTATCCTTCATCATTGGTTAATTGTATAACTGTATAAGGCACATCGACTTTCTTTTTAGGAATTCATGGGTGCTTGGCATGTCTTCTTAAACACTGTTATTGTGCATTTTCCATAAATAAACTGGAAGTGCAGTTCAAAGAAATTGTGATGTCACACTCGAATGCTATTCTTGGCATTTGTGTGCATTTGGGTGGAATAATTATGTATGCATTAGATATATATTAGAATAAGCATGCTCTGAAAGGTGACAGGGATAAAGGAATGAATTTCCACAATGCCACTGGGTCCATGGACTTTCTTTGGCAAAGAGATGACTTGTTTCCTTGAATGCTGACAGCCAGTGTTTGATTTCCAGTTTGACCTAGATCCTCCCAGAGCATTGCTGTGTACAGAGCATTACATCAGAATGAAAAGCCAAGCAAAACAGAAAGCAGGGTGATATCAGGCTGGATTGCTTTCGTAGGGATATACTGTATGAAGGGAACACTTCCACTGTTTTTAACTCTTCGGTATTTCCTGTTTAAACATAGATGTAAAACGTGGACCCTGGATGTAAATAATTTTATCGAAATTGCAGACAAATCAAAACATGTTTGTGTGGATCAGCAAAAAGAAATAAAAAGAGGGCTAGAAAGCAAACAAGTAATTAGAATGCCACATCATTGGAACAGCTAACTATACTCTTAAGAGAAACAAATGGAAAACAATGTCTACCTAGATAGCATGTTCACATGTAACACATTAACAAGATCAGTGTGGAGAAGTATACATAAGAACAAAATTCACTGTGGCATCTTACAGAAGTGAACTAAAAAAAGACTAAAGATAAAGAAAATTATCTAACTAAACATCATAAATAAACTTAAAAGTATTCTGAAGTCCATTATTCACATGGAACAATATATGGGATAATAGGTATTGGATAATAGGTAATAGGTTGTGGGCATACACACATACTGTATACACAAACAGTACACAGCTTAATAATCTCATGTCATGAAATAACTTTTACCAATATGTGAATAACTCAGAATGAATGAGTAAAATGTACACAGTAGCAAACCCCCCATCCCAAACACACAAAGTACCCTGATATTCCTGTGCCATTGCAATTATGACACTAAGAGCTTGTAAGATTGATTGTAGTGGTACCATATTAATGTTTTCTATCGATCAAAATAATCAATTTCAACCTTAAATTGAAAATCAGCCTTTACCCCTGTATTTTTAGCACCTGACATCTGAGTTTCCTTAAATAATACCACCGTTTTTCTTTGAAATATTAAGCTTTAACAAAAAAAAATATATTTATCCAGACCTATAACACCAGCTATATGGATGTTTCAATAAATATGTAATATGTATGAATGCTTTGAAAAAGATGAGTCAGACGTTTGTTAAAGATGAGCTTTAATAGATGAAAAAGATAAATGTGGATGAACAACAACGAGAACAAACGACATATTGTGCCAGTAGTCTTTTTCATGTATTCATGTATGAATTTTCTTTTAAAATTATATTCTAGATATAAGGTAAAAATTACAATTCTACATCAAATAATGCCATCTGAATGTGAATGCTTTTCTCAATGGCTGGCATTTTAATAAATTATTGCTTTAACTTAAGATTTTAAGTCGATTTATCACCATTTAACCACATATTGAACTATTATTTCATTTCGATCGCTGATAGATAACGACAACCCATTATCCAGAACTGGAACAATCGTGTTCCTGTTTTCTTAGGCGCACTGAAGCATAATTTAAAATGTAAATATTTTGTTCAGATTCGAGCCGGACCGTTTTGTTTACAAAGAGTTAAAAAGGCGGAAAATTGAACGGATCTGAACAGGTTTCCATGTCAAACACTTCAATTCTCCATAGAAACTCTGATCTTAACTCGGAAACTTTATTAAACCCCGATGGAGGATTGATAAAGCAGAATTTCTATCGGCTTCTTTTTATTGTGGAGACAGGGCATGATGACAGAGGTAAATTGCTCTTTTAATTAAAGCAATGCACCAAAGGAAATTACAGTCTGAATATTGTCTCAGAGATGGCGTTTGTGACTGTTGCCTGGAAACTTCAATCTGTTTCACATTTATTCCAGATCACAGTTTTGAGATAAAGTTTAATAAAAATCCTTCCCCCAAATGAAATTCAGCCCTTTCTGATCAAACAGCTACAATGAAACAGAACTGTGGAGCAAACCTTATGTTTAACATGTATCTCTCAGGTATCCGCCACTTTCTGATTTAAAGCTTTTAAAAATACAAGTTTTAACTAAAGAAGAGGATTGTTTTTAATTTTATATTGCCTGGTCGTTTCTTGTCTGCTATTCAGCTTTTCCCTCTGCAGTCTGCTGGCTTTAAGCCCCCATCTCTTTGTCGGAAATCGGATTTCCTTTTTCCTGAACGCGTTTCCTGACTTCACCTCTAAAACTCGGAAAAGAAAACTGCAGATGCTGCCAAAGGAAAAAAAAAACTTTGGGAAAAGAAGAAGACTTGCACAATACAACAGTGCAAGAAAGTTTTTAGATGTATAAACTATCTCAAGAATTAATCTAATACAGATTTAATATCTTGTATTTTTTCTTTTATATTTTTAAAAACAATTAAATTAATTTCGCTTGCCCTATTCTTCTACTAGTTATTTCATCAGTTAAAAGCAGAGGAAATGTCGACGATGGCATCAAAATAAACAATTAAAAAATGACCAATTAGCTGTCATCAAACACAAAGAGTTGTCTAAGTGTAAAATCCAAATGCCAAATGTTGTGCAAATTGTTACTGATAGACACTCGTGTTCATCTTTTTTTATTTCAGATCCCTCAGAAAATTTATTCAAAGAAGGAAAAACCTCATCCTGGAGTCCTATTAACACCGGCGTGCAGAAAGGTAAGTCTCGAGTATTATTATTGTTATTATTATCGATCGAGACGGACGTTTTCTATTTGTAATAGATTATACTTATTTAAGAAAAAAATCATGGAAAATAATTTATATTGTTTCAAAGGGTAAAAACAAAACAGTTATTGAAAGGTAGCTTTTGGTTTTCCTACGCTTACAACTACAACTAAAAATAATAATAATAATAATAATAATAATAATAATAATAATAATAATAATAATAATAATGACAATCACGCACTAGAGGTTCGCATTCAATGGCTAAATTATATAAAATCATTGCTAATGAGGGCCGTTAGTCCTCATGTATATAGACAATTAAATTATATCATCATACTCCTCACTTATTTTGAAGAAAGCTAAAAAGGAAAAAAAGAACATTTATATAAGCACAAAGTGCTTACGATAATACGATATCAAGCCCATTTTAGTTTTTTATATTTGTTATTTAAATATGTATTTATTTTTTTTTATTAAAAAAGGTGATAGTAAAGATTGTCCAATGTTTAAAAGCTAAAAAACTCCCACATTCATAGACTGCAGGTAAAGTAGTATGTTGTATACAAAATAAGTCTTTGAATAATTTGTATACGATGCCTTTAATCCCAAAGGATATTTTTAAAACACTTTGATTTCCTTATGCTTGCCATGTGGCGGCACGTTAGTACCATATTAAATGTACTGTACGTTTATATTAAAGAGAAAAAAAACAGAATCTCAGGAGAAGTTCGAGTATTAACCTTAAATTTCTTCAGAAAAAAAACTGAACTACAAACATGGTGCATGTTTTAAATCCATATGTACACATTCATAAACATGTTACGTAGTGTATGCATTTGCTATAAGAAAGATATACAGTACATGTATCACTTTATACTGTACTGTATATATGTGCACCTTATTGTATTGTAATACTGCACATACTAAATCTTTCAATGAATAAACCTGAAGTCGTTGCCTTATATCGATTTTAAACATGATTTGTGACACCGGTATCTCTTAATCTTTGTGTTCCTGTTGAGCCTTACACAGATCTCCAGTATATTCAGATGTTCAGGGTAGGCTGAACACTATAACAGAATAACATTCGACAGAGCTGATAATTTGTTGTCTTTTTTAGGAAGCGGACAGATTCAACTTTGGCAGTTTCTGCTGGAACTACTATCTGACAGCTCAAATATGAGCTGTATTGCCTGGGAAGGGACAAACGGGGAATTTAAACTGATTGATCCTGATGAGGTGGCTAGGAGATGGGGTGAGAGAAAGAGCAAGCCTAACATGAACTACGACAAACTGAGCCGAGCTCTTCGCTACTACTATGACAAAAATATAATGACAAAAGTTCATGGGAAACGGTATGCCTATAAATTCGATTTTCATGGCCTAGCTCAAGTCTGTCAGCCGTCCACCACCGAGCACGCCTTGTACAAATTTCAGAGCAATTTCGCTCCCATCCCCTTTTCGGGAATTTCTAAACTCAATCTCGTCACTCCAAGTGTCGCTCCATCCGGATTCTCCTACTGGCCCGGGTCTCCGCCTGCTCTCTACCCCGGACACAACCTCCAACCCTCCGGAGCGTTCAGTTCAGTAGCAGCATCTCATATAAGCGGCATCAACAATATTAACAACTTAAGTAACATCAGTAACCACTACCATTAAGCATATAGGGTTTTTCGTGCTATTTACAAAGAAAACAGTACAAATTATTTTTAAGGATGTGCTGATTGTATATTTTGAAACAACTTGTCTGTTTACAGATCTCCTACTACAAAATGTTTTTAAAGGAAGGATTTTTTGTTTTAGAGACGGACCGCATTACGCTGGCAGTATTTTTCGCTGCATGCAAGTCTGCTGTTGTTGGTCTGAGTCTTGTTGAATTATTAATGGACGATTTCCATTCCTCTACCATCATTAACAGTGTGCCGGAAAATACATATATTTATAGATCCGAATTCGTCAAATGAAAACAAAGCATTTGCCCTTAGTACAGTGAAGGTATTTTAAAATTGACTGCTACCTTGAAGCGACCTTGATGCTGCCATCACGTTCGATTGAAAAATTGTCCCAATGGGACATTTAGCGCCATCTGGTGTTTGGAACTATATAGAAAAGGCTATTATTATCGTTGTTGCTTAGTAGTATCTGGATACTATAAAAAATAAATGTGAAAGCATTGTCATTACGGGGTTCATACATTTTTTTAAAAACGAAATCTTTATTTACCGTAAGTTTACCTAGGCTATCCATCTATCTGTTTTCTAACTGCTTCTTCCAATTCAGGGTTGTGGGCAGCTGGATGCATTTGGGGTATCTATACATAAAGTATACAAAAAACATCTTTCTAACATCATTTCTGGTCAGCAATACCCACACAGTGTGAAAGGCAGGATGAGTATATGTAGAATTGGATAATGTTTGTTCTGTGATCTGCGGTTGGTGGTGAATGTCTCGATACGCCTCGATATCACTGACTCTTAGGTTTTTAGATGTTATGATAAAAAGCGATTTCAAGGCTAATTCAAGTTTATTCCACCCCCTGATGTATACACACAGGACACCAGGAATCACCAGCAATATTTAATTTTACATCCTTAAATACAGATCAGCTTGAGCAGTTAAAAAAATATTTAAGAATAATTAACATACATGACTATTCTGAGCCATTTTTTGTGTAGTGATGTTTACAGTTTTTTTGTATGTCCAGTGTCAGTCTAATGTCTTGATTATGTAAAATAGATAAAGCCTGCATTCCCATTCCCCATTGCTCTGTAATATACTGTAGCTGTTTCCATTTCATTTTCTATTGCACTGTAGTATAATTATTTCTCTACAGTATGTACACCTGTCTTGTAAAATAATTAAGTGTTAATAATTAAATGTTCTTCAAAGTACAAAACTCTGAGCTTTTCTGTGAGTTTATATATGTCTAAAAGTAGTACAATGTTGATACACAGTATGTACAGCTGCTTTATGTATCATTAATGATCACATTTTCACAGTGAACCTTTCTAATGCCATTTGAAAGACATTTAAAACAATATGGTTTAGCTTTTTAACACATAAACCCAGCCAGTCCATATTTGGTATAGTATTTCTGAGCATTGAAAAATATCACATGATATGTTTAGTAATTTTTAAACATGATATATTGAGATTTATAGTAGAACCACTTTTATTTGAACCTTTTTGACTTGATACACATAGTCTTGAAAAATACATGTATCCTAATATTTCTGTGAAAAATAATTACAGAACACTGTAAAGGAACAGATGAAAACAAGATTCACATGTCAGTTCTTTCTAAGGGGAAACCATTTTAAAAACAATCATAATCAGATTCTAGCACTGTACCATATACAGTATTGAAGTCTTGCACAGATTACCATCAATATGAAACTGGAAAAAAGACAATCTACATTTTCACAGTTCTGACAGGCATTTGTCATAGAAAAACAATTACCTTTTCTCTTAAAAAGTTTCTCTTTATTTTTACATTCAGCAGAGACGTTTGGAGCAAAAGGTGGCCAAGGTGTTTTATATTTCTAAATAAAATATTTATGTACAGATTTTCAGGTGTTTACAGTATGTGGGCTAGAACTTTTTTATAAAACAAATGGTATTTAAAAACAAACTTAAGCGCCAAAGATACGCTGCACTACACTTAGGCTTAGTGTCACAGTAGTGCAGAAGGAATAGTAGATAAATTACATTTAGAATATGTGTGTGCGTATGTTTACAGTATGGCAAGGTTTTTCATTTCAAAACTAGAGGCAAGTGCCAGACCTCCTTGGGTAGACTAGACTTGATACATCGTAATCTCATTATGTAGTCCTAGATTTTTAAAAACTCAGTTTCACGTCTAAAATTTCAAATCAGTTTGTCCTTTGCATTTTAAAAATACATCTTGTTTAAGGAAAAAAAAAGGATAACTTATTCAGTTCTGAAGCAGTTACACTAAAAACAACAGCAAAAGAACTATTGTATATTTTCAAATAACTGTTTCGATCTGTATGCTAGGCACAAACTCACTGGGCCCTACATTCAAAACACTTAAGTGACTGAATACCAGTTTCTTTTTAGGGGGATATTAATATCAGGCCCATTGTTGTTATCCATCCATCCATTTTATAACCACGTCTTCCAAAACAGGATTGCAGGAGAGCTAGAGCCTATCTCGGCAAGCAACAAGCAAAAGGCAGGGTATATCCTGTGTGCTATGCAAGTGCATCGCAGGGCACTCACAAACAAACACACACTCACACCTGGGCCAATTTCCCCAGAAGCCAATTAATAATAATAATAATAATAATAATAATAATAATAATAATAATTGGTTACACTTATATAGCGCTTTTTTCTGGACACTCCACTCAAAGCGCTTTACAGGTAATGGGGACTCCCCTCCACCACCACCAATGTGCAGCATCCACCTGGATGATGCGATGGCAGCCATAGTGCGCCAGAACGCTCCCCACACAGCTATCAGTGGGGAGGAGAGCAGAGTGATGTAGCCAATTCATATAATTAACCTACTAGAATGTCTTTGGAACGTGGGAGGAAACCAGAGCACACAGAGGAAACTCACACGAACAGCCATTAATATTATGTAGTGAACTAAATTATCTCAAAGGAACAAGTAAAGGTTTATTCCATGCTGAAAAGAGAAGAAAAGAAACACAACATTTCAGCTGTGGAGCCTTCTTCGGGTGTGTAGATAAATTACATTACAATTACTCACACCAGAAGAAGGCTCCACATTGTTTCTTTTCTTCCCCTTTCAGCGTGGAATAAACCTTTACTTGTTCTTTTGCAGCCTATGCATGCTGATGCAGCTCCCTACTTGATCTAAATTATTTCAATGCTTTCATTTAGGTCAAAGTAATTCACAGCCTGCATTAATTACTGCCTCATAACCCTGTTGCCAAGGTCATGCTTTAAGTGCTGTGCAGTTTATTGATGGATAAATGATCTTGATCAGCATTTTCTGACGCTTCTACACCGTATGATTCACTTCTGGTGAATAAAAGAATTTAAAATATGTTTTTTAAATTTGATATTGTAGAGAATAGAGAGTTTGGATAATAACAGAATTTTTACTTTTATTTTCAGTTTATTTTATTTTTTTCAAAATTATTATTCCCTCTGTGATCAGGATTCTTGCGCCATACAATTGTGAAAAAACGCTTAGCGTTAAAAGGGTATTTACCCTCAAGAGGGCGCTGTTCCTTTAAAAACAAGGTCACAGACAAAACTGCAACTCGAAATGTCACTGCTTTGCTGTCGGTCGATCCTGATAGGTTAAATCGAAATTGTATAAATTTGCTAATTAATATCCAGAAAGTCAGTAAATGATGGAATGTCTTTTTCATAAAGTACAATTAATTAAAAAATCTTAAAATACAACTGTGAAATATGGCTGTTTATGTTTTAACAGTTCTGATTCCTTCTTAAAACTCCATGACAATCGAACTGCATGATTTCCCTTCTACCATATTCCCATAGAACAATATGGCATAATCATTTTAAGATAAGCTTGACATTCTAATTGTTCAAATCTCAATGGTTTTGAAAGTTTGTCTGTGAATGTTTGGTTACATGTAATTCAATGTTATTTTTACTGAAAGAAGCAAGCTACTGTATATTAAAACATCTATTAAAATATACACACTTTAAATATATTTGCCTTGACATATTTAAATAACTAATATGCAATTGTGCTGAAGGTGCATATAATCATATTAGCTTATCATAATATGCTACTTTAAACAAGGTATGTAGTATAGACAACATACTGTATACTTACAGCTGTGGCCCTTAATATATCCTTTTTTTCTAACAGTACAGGACATAAACCTAGGTATCGAGTGGATGTTAACACTACAGTTATGCAACTAAAACAGCATTTTAAGAAAATACTGATGAATACCTATTAAATATGTTTTGAAATATGTATATAATTATAATAAATATATATTTAAGAACAACTAATCTTAACAACAAAAACAAAGGGCTGGCAAAAATAAAATGGTTACTCAAGAACATGGCTTTTTTCCAAAAAAGAAAATCAAATAATCTTCAGATTAGGCACCACTCAGACACTGCCTGTGACTTTTCCTCTAAAACGGATGGAAGAAATTTAATCTGGATGATTTAATCAGATGTGATTGATATGCAAGCGTGCTAAAAAAGGTACATAAACTATTGAAATTAAAGAGAAGCTGCTAAAAATCTAATTTGGTGAAATTGATAGGTGAATTTAGCAGGTAAATAATACAATTTGCATTGTTTTCCAGTGTGAATAGCTTGATAAGAAGACTGTATGTGTGACCTGAATATCAATGACATCATCTGGGACTAAGGATTTCCATTGATGGCAATGTCTGTGCCCACAGACACAGGAAGCATTTTAAATCCAATCACTTACTGATAGAAGCAAGCCAAACAGTGAGCTCTGAAGACATGGATTTAAAACCTCTGTGAGAGAACAGTACTTGGCTGTAAGAACAGTCAGATGATTCATAAAATATTCAGTAAGAAGCTTCTTTACTTTAACAGAATGAAGAGCTATGTTCCAATCACATCGCCTTTAACAAAAAATAGTCAAATGAATAAAACCTATTCAAAAGATCCTAAACCCAAAGCCAATAAATTATTTTTAACCTTAAGAATATTAACATGATGTATTTATAGCAATAATAACACGCTATACATGTTTTAAATTAGTGAGGGAAACCTGTAACTTAGTATTTGTAATGCAATACATTGTAAACAAGCTTTTGGCTTTCATTTCATCTAGACTGTTTGGCCTATTTGTTTTAAAGAAAACAAAGGAATAATAACCACCAATGGTTTCCCACTGCATGTGATGTTGAATATGCAGTATCAAGAAAAAAGACTCCCACAATTTCCTCTGTTGTGTGAAAGTATGACATGATATGAGTATTTAGCTGTGTAGAAAATGGATGAGTATACAACCATTCAAACATTCAAAGTTGTCAAGAATAAACAGACAGGTCTCTATATTGTACACTGTACAGTTCATATACACCATTACATTATTTTACATATTGATACATATTACAGAGTGGAAATCAAAACGAGACATCCATTTGTACAATAACAAGCATGCTGGTAGTGACTTCTGTGGCCTCAGAAATATTAAACACTATGTGGGCCATAGCATTTAGTATAATTTTCCAAAACAGACCCTACTGTGCTTTACATAAACTTTCAAGCCATCTGAATAGAACAGTGCCTCAGAATTCTGGTTACTATGGGGGAATTCAGGTTAGGTTAGTACTTTCCATCTTTTGTTGTTTTATGTTTAATTTTTAAATTATGCACACCACATTCCTCTCAAAGCACTATAGAAAACATAAAAGAAAATGTCCTAGACAGAGTAGAGTGATTCCAAATTGTTCTGCGTCAATAAGCCAAAATGCTAACCATTGTCATGAAAAGGAACATCTATTTATTTATTTGATTTATTTGTGCTGATTTCTGTTTCAGCTCAGACATGAAAGCTTTGTATTTGCCTCTATACTTTTGTTTACCTCAGAGCTTGTTCTAAAGATGTATTCCTTGTAACATGCTGTTCTCTTTATGGTGAGGCATTTAATATGCATCATTAACAACATATTGTACACAAAAGGAGAAAACTGACATATGGTGTTGATGTAAAATATTAGATGTAGTCCTAGATTTGCATTGGAATCTTCAGCTTTAATCAGAAAACATTTCATTATCCTTCAAACAACCTACTGTATAATATATTCTACAAGGAATATACTATATCTATGGACAGTTTTTTTATAGACTTAAGGTTTAGGAATTAGCAA